ACCTATTCCAGTATTCTTGCCTGGAGAATTCCATGGCCAGAGGAGCCTGACAGGCTAGCCCATGGGGTCGCAAAGAGTCAGACACGACTGAGTGACTTTCACTATGTAGACATGCCAAATTTGTAGAAAATGCCACTGTTGTTGAATATTCAGGTTTTTTCATTTATTTTTTTTTCTATTACAAACAGCTGTATGATGAACTGTCTTCTTGACACATTCTTGTGCACATCTATTATCTTTCTCATAAATTCTAAAAGTGAAATTCATGAGCTAATATCTGCAGTTCTTTCAGGTTCTTGATAGATCCTTTTTTTTTTTTTTTACAATGTAAGTATTAATTTACACTCCCACCAACTTTCATAGAGACTGGACACTCATCAATATTGGTTTTATTCCTATTTTTGAATCTGTGATATTCTTATAGGCAAAACATACTACTGCATTTTTTTAAATAGATTTTCCATTATGCCTAGCTAGGCTGAACTTTTTCACATTTTTGGATGATCTTTATTTTTCTTTTAAAAAACACCCACACATTTCTCCCTCCTGATTGATGTCTGTGCAGCCTGCAGGAAGAGAGAGTGATGATCCTGGGAGTCTGAGGCTCAGAGATGCCGATTATTTGCTTTCCTCCTGAGCAGTGCTGGGATCCTTGGACTGTACCTCTTCGGTAACAAACCCTGTGACTGGAAGACTAAGCCTATTTCCATATGAGCTTTTATTATGGAGCTGAGGCTTTTACTATAGTAACGGATGCCTTTTCACACAGCATTGGATGCCATGTCATAGGCTACAAAGGGAGCTACTCAATTTTGTAAAATTGATGCTTTTGAACTGTGGTGTTGGAGAAGACTCTTGAGAGTCCCTTGGACTGCAAGGAGATCCAACCAGTCCATCCTAAAGGAGATCAGTCCTGGGTGTTCATTGAAAGGACTGATGCTGAAGCTGAAATGCCAGTACTTTGGCCACCTCATGCGAAGAGTTGACTCATTGGAAAAGACCCTGATGCTGGGAGGGATTGGGGGCAGGAGAAGGGGACGACAGAGGATGAGATGGCTGGATGGCATCACTAACTCGATGGGCATGGGTTTGGGTAGACTCCGGGAGTTGGTGAAGGACAGGGAGGCCTGGCGTGCTGCGATTTACGGAGTCGCAAAGAGTCGGACATGACTGAGTGACTGAACCGAACTGAACTGAACATTAAATGTAATATATCATTGTATGTTATATATTTAATCTACTAATATACATTAAATGTCATGTTATATGTTATATATTTAATGTACGATCAGTACAACTGAGCAACTGAACTGACGTTAAATGTACCTTCTATCAATCAATTGAATAATTCAGACACATTCTTTTTGTGTGTGTGCTCAGTCATAGTCAACTCTTTGTGACCCCCCATGGACCACAGCCTGCCAGGCTCCCCTGTCCATGGGATTCTCCAGGCAAGAATACTGGAATTGGTAGTTAAAGGATCCCTTTAGCTAAAGGATCTTCTAAAGGATCCCTTCTCTCAAGAACCTTCCTGACCCGGTGGTCCAAACCATGTCTTTTGTGTCTCCTGCATTGGCAAGCAGATTCTTTTCCACTAGCCCTGCTTGCATTTCAAGCAGCAAAACCAATAGTGGCATTTATTGCATCATCCTGGAGCAAAATATTCTCTTAAAAATCAAACACTGTAGATCTGAAAAGCAAGTTTTTGCCAAAACATCATTTAAAGTGAAGGAGGAAAGGAACAGGCCAAATTGACTCCATCTTGAGAAGGAAACTCTCTTTTGCATTCTCGATAAACTTTGGACTATATGCCTAGCCAAGGAGACAACATACCTACAGCCGAACAGGCCTCCTGAACTGATAAACACCAGATTCCATACCTAGATTAGCCGTCACTAGAAAGAATGTAATGACCCACTATGTAGTCAATCACTTTTGTAATCTTTATGGCACCTGTTGATGTAAACTACAATGTGTAACCAGCTGACCTTTTAAATTATGAATCATGACTGTAACATGATTGTATCTCTCTTTAACATTTTCCAGGCTAGGCTTAAGGAATTTGGGGATGTGGGTTTGAGCACATACACTTAAGGTATATAAGATTTTCACAAAAGTCGGTTGGGGTCCCTGGCTAAAGAGGAAACTCTGTCTCGGACCTGCCGGTGTAATAAACTGCACTCCACTATCCACGCTGTCCTTCTGAGTGAGTTTGCTTCCTGGAGCATTTGACTATAACAACAGCATCACTCCAAAAAATTTTTTTACAACTGTTGTGCCTACTAAAATGACCTTCTAAAGCTAATCACCTGGAGAATGTTGTGGAATTTCTTGCTGAAGAAATCAGTCCTTTAAGGGGTATTTTTTCGTGTCCCCCTTGGACTCTCTTGTCTCTGGTGCTTTCATATCTGCAGAAAACTTGAAGCGTGCCTTCCTAAATGTCAAAACCCTTCATCTCAGCCAGTGCTCCTTTCTTTCTCCGTCCCTGCTCATCTCCTTGGGGTAGCACAGAGGGCAAGGCTCTCATCTGTCTCTAGACTGGTTGCTCTCACTGGGAACTAAGAACTTCTAACAATGCCACAACTTATTGTCTGCGTTGTGTTGTGTAACTTTCCCTAAGCTATTGCATCTTTTTCAAGTGACCTGCATCTTTTTCAAGTGACCCGCAGTTCTCACTTGGTTACTTATTGGAATATATTTTTAAGTATTTTTCAAAACTGTATGCATACTTTTGAATTTACAATGTGTTTTAAAACATAAGGTGTGTTATCCATTCATAATGGTGCTATATTGCTCCATTTTTCATCTTTATTTCTTTTCCATTCCCCATGGAAGTTGCTCTAAACCTTTATCACTTTTTAAATTTCCTCTTCAGTACTGGGTTACTTATTCTCAGCATTAGCCACCTTTCTCAGCTGAGCAATCAGCAGTTATGAGCCCTCCATCTTGCCTTTCTCCATCTCTTAAATACACTTATAGATTCAGACATCACTCCTAAAGGGGAGGCCTTCCTCTTCTCCAAGATTTAGTCCAATAAATAGTTCCTCTTTCTTATAGATGTAGTTTTTCTCTTTTGATTAGTTTCTTTACCTCATTTTAAAAATAAAGCTAAAGTTTCTCCCTCCGAAAATGTTAATTTTAACTTCCCCTGAAATACTTTCATCCAACCTGAAGCTCATCTCTCTTTACCTTTATCATTAAACTTCTCAATCAACTATCTATGAAATGAAAATATCTCCTGCCATGTCAATAAACAAGAAATGTCACAACCATCAGCAATTTCTGGCCTCCAAATGTGAATGAGGGCTCCTAAAACTGTGATTCAGAGGATCCAAGGAAACAGTATTGGCCTCAGATAGCTGAGGTGCATATGAAAGGAATGATTTCAATAAGCCCAGAGGCTTGCATCTTCCCATACTTAGAATGCTAAATTCCTTAACTTGATATCTGATCTTTGATATTCAGTCTGACTGCTCCCTTTGTTGCAAACTTGTATATAGCCTGACTTTCCCTCCTGCCTCCTTTGCACAGTTTTTTTTAGAGCTACTGGGAATCTGTCTCCTGGGCTCAGAGTGCTAAACATTTCCACCAAATAGAAGAACTCTCTGCTTTCAGGTTGTGAGTATTATTTTAGTCAACATATTCAAAATTTTTGTTTCCATTTCCTAGTCATTAATTTAAAATGTAATTTGAGGTTTGATTCTGCTTCATTTGTAAGGCAGATGATTCTCAGTGGCATTGGTGATGTTTTAATCAGATAGTCCATTTGAAGTATTTTCATTCCTTTCCTTTCTATAACAATAACCAGATGCCATCATTAAAATTGTTTCTCCCGTGGCTTCCATGCTACCAATCTTTCTTTCTATCTTCTTTCTTCCTCTTTGAACATCCTTTTCAAAGACCTTCACAGGTTTCTTTAATGGAGTTTACTTCCTGAATTTCAGGATTCCAGAATGGCTTCTCTTATTCTTTCTTTTTTATTCTCTCTTCTCTACATACATGTACACACTCCTAGATATTTGTAGCTCTTCCTGTGGCTTCAAATTCCATCTGTTTACCATCTGTAGTATACATTCTATTGAGTGAGAGATACAACACAAAACACAAATCGGGCAGTTATAGTACCAGATGGTAGTTACATGCATCTGTGTGTTACTCTCAAGATATTACTAACCCCAATCATTTCAATTTTCTTAACAATTTACATGGATTACAGAATGGCTAATTTTAATGTGCAAATCAGAATGAAAAGGTATAGTAAAGGAGATGACATGTTCTGTGAGAGCTGAATTACTGTACTCCGTTGATTCCTTGAAAGTCCCAGAATTAGCATTTTATACATCCTAGGCACTCTAGCAACTTTATGACAGTGTGTGACTGTGTTCCCCTGAGAAAGGTTCTTATAAAATAAAATACAAAGGATAAAAAATAGATGCCACTCTTACCAACTGCATTTTTTCCAGATTATTTTTTGAGAACCAAAGCTAAGGGAATAGCTTTAAATTACACACAATAGATTTATATTCAAATGTGACTTGTTCCTGGAAAGTTGAATAGAAAAATAAGATTCTATAAGCTACTCGGCCCTAGGACCACTATAGATTCTGTGCCTTGCTGATGATTCTCATTAAGTGGTAGGCAAAAGTGATTTTACATAATCATGTTAATCAAAAGATGAAGATATAAAAATGTATGAGGTCTTTGAGCACTGCAAATAATTTTAGAAATAATCTGGTCTTACCTATTCATTTTGTATGAGAGAAAATTGAAGCCAGAGGGGTTAAGTGAGTTCTTCAATTTCACTTAGTTAATTAGTAGTGGCAAAGCAGGGAGAAATTGAGGCTCAAGGTTTAATGTGCTTTACATTATAAAACAGTGCTCGTAAATAGCCAAAGTTGTTGTCAATTCTGACAGAAAAATTAGACTTGTTTTAACATCATTCTCTTAATTAAATAGCCCATACTCCTTATATCTGAATCTATTTATTTCTTACCTTTTAGACATCTGAGGTATTTTGCAGGTGAAGGAAGTGGAGCAATTGCTTTACTCAGCATGGTGAGTAAAGTTTCCAGGTTATTAATGGTGATGATTATGTTGCTTTTTACATGATATTTTTTTGTTCCCCAAATGAACCAGGTAGCTGGTTTTATATCTACCTAAGCTTTATCTCTTACTCAGTCAACAAATATTCATTAAAAATGCACTTTATTCCAGTCTTAATACTGGAAACTGAGAGTAGAAAGATTAATTTTAACCCAGTCTTTGCTTATAAAGGTGGTGTCAGCATCCATTGAAAATTAATTGTAATAACATCCAAAAGTGTTCTCTTAATTGTAAATTATAGTAAATAAACAGTCAAAGTCATCAGTTAAATGCAATTTAAACATTGTAGATGCTATAAATATGATATTATATGAATACAAAGGGAGTAGAAGTGGGAAAGAGGAAGACAAAAAGTCTCCATGGTGATAGTAACCTGAGTTGTAAACAATGAGTAGATGTTCTTGAGGGGATGATGATGGTGGGAGGGTAGAGGTAGGAAGTGAGGGGTAAGGGATTAGAGGCAGAGATAGGAGAGGAAGCAAAGCCATGGAGGTGTGAATTAAGAGCAGTTCTGTGAGGTTGGAATTTAAGAAGATGGGGTGGGAGATGAGAATGGTAAAAGGCTGGAGATATAGGGAGGAGTCAAATTTTGGAAAGGATTTGTATGTCCATGGTAAGGAATTTGTTCTTCATTTTTAATGTATGGGCCCATAATTATCATCGCTTGAAAGCCTTATTGAGCGTACCTTACATATGTATATCCCTATAGTATTTGCTGTGGTATGGAAGGAAGAATCCTGGATTTAGCATGAGTTCAAATTCTTATCCTTTTACCTGTTAATGATGAAATTTTGATCATTTATGTATTCTCTTGGGGCCTCAATTCTATTTGTACAATAGGAATGATAATTCACAGGGGATCCAATAGGATAGAAATTTAAAATTCCAAAGCATACGTAGTGAAAGAACATTGTTATTTTGATTATATTAGGGGCAGAAAACTTCTGGGGCAAAGAAAAGATTTAATGCATTGGTGAAGGTGTCATGCTAGTTTCCTTCCAGTCAGTTCTCTGGGACTGCAGAGAGAGGTATAGCACATGTTGCTTCAGTGAGAGTTCAGTTAAGAAAATAGAAACCACTTTATATATTCTGGTTTGAGGTTATGGATTATAGGATTTTGGAAGTGATTGGGGAGTGGATATTAGGAAAACAGAGGCTGAAAGATAGGGGAGCTGCCTTTTGAAGGTCAAGGAGGTGAACTGTTAAAATTTAGCCTGAAGCACTCAATGACTGACTTTTAAATGCTTACCTGGAAGCCATTCTGAAACTCATGTAACATAACCTACATTTAAAAATACATATTCAGAAAAGCTTCACAGTATGTAGAAAGTTTGACCAAATACTGAATCATTTAGTTGTATGATCACAGGATGAAAGAAGAAAAAAAGACCCTATAGCAGAAGTTGTGAGAGAATATATCCAAATATTTTATGGAATTTGGAGACTGGAAAATGCAAATAAGCTAAATATCATGTTAAATATGATGAATGCAATTTAACATAATATGCTGCAAAATTTAAAGTTAATATGACATGAATTTTTAATGATCCCCATTCAATAAAATATTTTGCAGCTGGGATTGTTCATTAGATTAATGGTTGGAGATGGACAATTACAGTTATGATTTTTTATCGTGGGGAAGAATATTAAGAGTGAGTTTTGTGAGCAGATCAGTAAAGGAGCGATTTTAAGTATTAATAAACAGATACCAATTTGGGGTCTGGGGTAGGAAGTCTCCAAGATGGCCCCCAGTGATACCTACTGTTTGGGAGTCAGGTTCTTGTGAAATAGTCTTTCTTTGAATATTCTGGACCTACTGACTTACTTCTAATCAATAGAATCCATAAAGAATGGTGGGATGCCATTTCTGAAATTAGAATACAGAGGACTGTGACTTAGATATTGCAAAGACTATCTTGCTCATTCTTCTTGCTTTCTCACTCTGGGAAAGTCGCGTGCATGCCATGGTGACAGGAAGCTGAGGGAGGCCTGTGGCTAACAGCCGGGGAGGAATTGCACGTCATATTAATTAATTCCATTATTTAACTCACACAGTGGACTCTTTCATATTTAGAAAGTCATCACTCACCTTGAGATAAATGTTCACTCACATTTTCTTGAGTTTTTTTATATTTTTATTTTTATGTTTGATCCATTTAGAATTTATTTTAGCATCCTCCTTTTCAAAGTTACATTTCTTAAATTCAGAGACCACAATGATCCACTACTGAGAAAATCTTCTAAAAGTTACTCAGAGATTCCTGAAATCTAAGGCATTTTCCAAGTGATTTCATTACAGTGGCCCATTTACTTAGCTAGTTGATTTCCTGAGTTGGTCCAAATTCTAACCCTGTAAGTACTCTTCAAATGTTGGGCACAGATGTACAGGAAAGTAACAGTTCTTAAAATAAATGTTAGTAATCATTTCACTTAGATGTGTGATTATTTTCTCCTCATTAAAAAAAAACAAATCCTCAGTCAGTGCTTCTTTAAAAGTGTTATTTCCTCCTCTTTGTGGGGAGCTATAAAGGAATACATTTTATAAATAATTAATACTAAAGACCACATATAGAATCAGGGATAATGAAGAGATAACAATCAACTATCAATTATCACTGCATAATGCATAGCAAAAACCTGACTTTGCTGAAAATGTGTTATTTTGTAAAACAGGCTGCATATACAGATCTGGTACCAGAAGAGTTCCATGAATCACTCCTGTATAACTTTCAAACAGATAGGAATGGCCATTCTACATGGCACTCTGATGACAACAAAGAACACTTCAGGAAATATATTTCTTCAAAATTTTGCTGATAGGTACAGTCACATTTTTGTGCTCCAACTATTAAGAATAAAGTTTTGTGCTTCAAGATAAATGTACTCCTGACTGACCACAAGTCAGCATGCACATTGATTTGTCATCTGGGCAGTATAGTTTGCATAGATTTGTCACCTTTTCTAGCCTGTTTCCTTAGAAGGATACAACATGTCATTGCACACTGTCATTCTTATTACCCACAGAATTCAAATCATAGACCTTTTATGTGTAGTTGAGCATTCATTTTCTCTCCCTTGATTAAACAACTTAAAAATGTTTTTGACTTTTGTAGTATATAAATACTCTAATAAAAAAATTGCATCTCTAAATGGAAGTGTTTATTTTTAGCAGAACCTTATAAAAATGGTCATTTTTGTAAATTAAAAAGTTCAAGCATCAGTAATATCACTGAGTTTAACCTAAGTAGTAAGTTTAATGACTAAACAGTGATTAAAGTTCTCCTAAGGAAAGTTGAAAAATTGATGCTTTTGAACTGTGGTGTTGGAGAAGACTCTTGAGAGTCCCTTGGACTGCAAGGAGATCAAACCAGTCAATCCTAAAGCAAATCAGTCCTGAATATTCCTTGGAAGGACTGATGCTGAAACTCCAATACTTTGGCCACCTGATGTGAAGAACAGACTCATTGGAAAAGACCCTGATGCTAGGGAAGACTGAAGGCAGGAGGAGAAGGGGATGACAGAGGATGAGATGGTTGGATGGCATCACCAACTCGATGGACATGAGTTTAAGCAAGCTCTGGGAGTTGTTGATGGACAGGGAAGCCTGGCGTGCTGCAGTTCATGGGGTCACAAAGAGTTGGACACGACTGAGCAACTGAACTGAATTGAACTGAAGGATAGCAAAATTTAGGAGCACATTCTTAAACATGCTGTCTCTTTATTTTCTTGTCATATTATAGAAAGAATATATTCCAGATTGAGAAAAACCTGTTAGTTGCCGACCTGAACTTTCTTACTATCAAAATCATTTTTGCAAAAGTTGACAAAGGGTCCAGCTTAGGAAAAACCTCAGGAAAATGTGGTTTTCCAAGCATCTTTGCAGTTGATTATAGCTTTGTGGTGTACTTTTGTGATGTGTGTGGAACCTAATAAGTTGGCTTCTTGGAAAAATTATAGTTTCATTGATAAAATGAAGACTCACTTGGAAAGTAGTCATTTTGTAAGTCTGAAGATGAGTACTCCATGTTAAGAATTTGGAAGCTACATAGAACTTAGGTTCTTAATAATTTCCTTGAGCTACCTCTGACTACATGTCTCCATACTTGATCTTTTGTGACAAAAATAAATCCCCACTGGGTTGAGCCATTATTAGTTGAATTTCTATTATGTATTTCTTAACTTCACTTCCTAATGTACTGCCAAAAGCAGGGCTTTTCCAACTTTAGTGACTACATGGAGGTCTTGTTGACACAGATTGCTGCACCTATTCTCAGAGCTGTGATTCAGTGGATTGGGAGGTGGATCCTGAAAGTTTGCATTTCTAACAAGTTTCTAGGTGATGCTGATACTGCTGGTCCTAGAACCACACTTAGAGTAGGATTTAGCAGTTTAAAAGACATGAAAACAACTGTAAGATACTATAGAAGCTAATTTCATTGATTGGGTATCAAGTTAAGGGATGAATAAGAAAAATTGCATCAACATCTTCCCAAAGTTAGAGGAATGAATGGAGAGAGTGTTTGGGTTGAAGAATGAGTGTGCTAGGCAAATACATGGGACAAGATGGAGAGGAAACAGTTGGAGATGATGTGGAAACAGGGAAAAACACTGTGGTTCTGGGAACTATGGAGATGTTGGTCTATAAGCTAGAGACACATATACCCATGTGATTAGGAGGATTGTGTGTGTGTATAGCAGGGGCCAGATTATGGCAAGTTTTATAAACCATGGCAAGGAATTTAGTTTGTATTCCATAGTCAGTGGGAAAACCATTAAAAATTCTAAGTGTAGGGACATGTTTCATGTGCATGACAGAAAAGATGCTGTTGGCAGTGTGGATGGTAGGCTGGAGGGACAGAAGCATAGAAGCAGAATATCAGTAAAGGGTCAGTGCAATTGTTCAGGTTGTGCTGATTTTCAGTTGAATGGTTTGATTTGGTTTTAGTGAGTAGATATGAATCTGAGTAAGAGTATCATCAGTCAAGATGGAATTTTTAAAAACCTTACTCTTAGCTGCATAACAGCATTTAATAAAGTACCAACCACTCCCTCCCTCCAGGTGCTGTCCATCAGAGCAAGGCTAGCTTCCTAAGAGCTTTCCTTCTCCAACTGAAAGTGTGGGTGGAAGTGAAGCTTCTTAATTATCAAGAGATGTGGCAATCCTGGAATTCAGAACAGTTCTCCAGGATATCTTTAATCTATTATAAATTTAAGCCACAACATACTTACTATCTCAGTGAGTAAGTGAGTGAAAGTCGCTCAGTCATGTCCGACTCTGCGATGCCATGGTTTATATACTCCAAGGGATTCTTCAGGCAAGAATACTGAAGAGGGTTGCCATTCCCTTCTCCAGGGGGTCTTCCCAACCCAGGGATTGAACCCAGATCTCCTGCATTGCAGGTAGATTCTTTACCAGCTGAGCCACCAGGGAAGCCAAAAAATATAAAACAAATTTCATTTATGCTGTGCTGAGTCACTCAGTCATGTCCTACTCTTTGTGACCCCATGGACTGTAGCCCACCAGGCTCCTCTGTCCATGGGATTTCTCAGGCAATAATACTGGAGGGGGTAACTGTTCCCTTCTCCAGAGGATCTTCCCAATCTAGGGACTGAACCCTGGTCTCACACATTGCAGGCAGATTCTTTACTGCCTGAGTCACCGCGGAAGCCGCTGAGCTACCAGGGAAGCTATCTCAGCTGAAGCATTAATACAGCCTTGATTGTCTCCTCAACAAGGATAAAGTCCGTAAGGACACGTCACAGGGAAAGTCGTCTGTCACAGGTTGACACCTGCTCTCCCACACAACATCGCCCGCAAGAGACACTCATGAAGCCACAAAAAATATCCTCTCTATACTTTTATCCAACCACAAATTTACAAAATTTTGTTTTAGCTGGACTTACATAATATTTATATTTACAGTCCTTGCAACAGTCAAACCAAGAGGCAGCAGGATAATTTAGACTTTGGAAAAAATGCTAAGACATTAGGGATTTATAAATTGAGCTGCCTCCTTTGTTTCAGTTGACATGTTTAGGGGTATTGGTAAAGAGGCCAGGAGGCTAGCTTTCCAGGTTAAAATTAGTGGCATATGTAACAGCTTGGTAATGAAAACCCAGGTGGTTAATTTCTGTGTTTAGAAACTCCTTTTTTTTTTTTTCTGTTCACTTAGGGAAGATCAGAGTACACAGAATGCATAGAATGGTTATATAGTAGCAAAGCCAAAATAAAAAAAATTGCAAGAAAATGATTTATAAACACAGGCCAGCTTTTAATTTATAAGTGGGGTGCATAGAGGTGCTATGGGAGGGCAGTGCTATCCCAGGAACAATCATAACCTCTTATCTGCTGGGCCCATGCTCTCTTTCATCAAGATACTAAGGCAATCAAATGATGAATCGGAAGTGTGCTTGGTGAGCAAAGAGACTGGTGTCATTTTGCAGGATGTTTAATCTGGTGGGCTGATGTAGAGGCTGATGACCTTCCTCCAGCACTGTGCACTTTCCTATGGCCTGAATCACATAGACCTCTCAGACTGTCTGTCTTTTTCACAGCTCTGGAGAATCACTCATAAAATGGTCATCTCTGGCTCTTCAGCTTTACACACACTACCATATTTCTATCATGAAAACATTTTCCAGACAAACTGAATATTATTGTATCATAGGTTATCTTAACAATAGTTATATTTTAGATATTTTGATGTCATTTAAGATACAAACTTATTTAAGAAGTATGCCTTATTCTCATTAGAAAAAATGATTTCTTAGGATGCAATTGCATTTAAAATATATGTATCAGGGAGTTTCCATTAATATGAAAACCTAAGTTTGATGCAGGAACACAATAAACTAAATTTAAAAAGAAATCTGAAACATAATAACAATTGAAATGTTTTTAATATATTGTGTTTCTTACAAAAATAGTACTATGTTGAATAACATTTTATGCACTGGATTCTTAAATTATTATATGAATAGTATGTTTTCCTATGGTAATATTCTTCTATATTTGTATTTAATTGATTAGTATTATTCTATGGAGATATCATAATTTACTACATCCTATTAGTGGACATTTAAACTCTTCCCCAAATTTCAATAGTATAGATAATACTTTAATGAAGGCCTCTGTTTAACTATCTATTATTTACATTTTTCATTCTTTCCTTAGCAACCATATCTCAAAGAGCTTGCCTCATACATTGCCAAGTGAAGATACCACTTTTTCATAGGACCAGTCTGATCCATTGTATACTGATATTTTGTCTCAAATCTGTAGGGTCATAGAATCTGATAATCTAGTTGTGTTCGTGAATTTGAAGCCTGTAGTTCCTTGTGTATATATTACCTGTGCATGTGTATATGTGAGTGTGTATGTTAAATATACATGACAAAGAAAATGTATATAAATGTATATTATATAGCATATATTGTATATACTTTACTTTCTTTGAGCTTAAAATTTGTTTCATTAGCTCCTCTTAGATATCTGTTTCATTAGCTTCTCTCTCAGTTCAAATTTAAGCTTTCTAAGTCTGAATTAAGGAATTGTATTTGAAATAAGTGATATGATTTATATTAAGTTCCACTTTGGGACTATAGCTCTAGTTTTTTGACCGAAAATATTTGATATGTTGGAAATAGCCTGTGCTAAAAATTCTTTTATTTCCACTTCATCATTTTATTTGTTTGTGATTTAAAACTTTTTGAAGGCTACCAATGGTAGAAGATTCTGTTGAAAAATATATGTGTTTCTGGATCAAGGTATCTGTGTGTGTATGAGTGCACCTAATTCTATTATGAAAATAGATGTATGTGTGCCTTTGTCTACTATGGAAACACCATATTTTTGTGTATTTTAAAAACTTTTATAGCTATTATCTTAGAGTTGGAATATATAATATACAATTCTTATGTAAGGAGATGGGTCTATCTCACCTCTTTACACAGGAAAACATGGCAGAACAAAAATTCAGAGGTTTATTGTTTTTAGATGCTTTAATAGGGGTTCAGTCCATTACCTTACAAACTAAGTTATAAACAGAAAATGCTGTTTCTCACAATAATTATTGGACATATAGATAACTTGCCTTACCTTTGAAACAAAGGTTTTTAACCTGGGAGA